ATAAATAAATAAATAAATATATTTCAGTGGAACTAATGGACATTTATTCACTTTGTTGATCACATATTTATCATAAATAAATTCACTACACTATACTATGTCCCCCTACAAGAAAGAATGATAAATTTGTTACCTTTACTCTCAAGGATACAAATACATTAAACTGTCATAAATAAAACAAATCCTTACCAAAGTTTAAGATAAAAATTTATCTTAATTTAACAGTTATGAAAAATTTAAATACAGGTTGTGTCATATGAATTAAAACTTATAGAGTAAAGTTATCCATGGGAATGATGAGGTATAGTTGAACAAATCAAGGGAACATAAACTTACATGACATGTCATATCAATCTATAAATTCCATGAGTGTATGAATATTTATTGCTTTATTCAGTGTATGGCACACACCAGCTTCCTAAAATGTTGTTAAATCTAGTTATTCAGATGAGGGAAGAATTGAACTCAATTTTATTGTCACAATGGTTTTATCTTGGGCAAGAAACCAAGCAGGTTGCAGTACTATTTTTATAAATAAAAATCAATATGTTCAGAGAGGAAAGGTACAGTTTGTATTATGAGTTTCAACTTCAGACTAAATTTAAGAGCTTAACAAATAAAATTTAATAAGTAGATACAATTTCAGCACGTAGCACAAGGAAGATATGAGGCCTGAGATTTTCATTTGAGATTCACTTCTGTGCACATAATATATTAGGAATCATTAGAATGAATAACATATACTTAAGAAAATAAACAGTAAAACTTTACAAAACTTAAGAAAAATGTCATTAATATGTTTACATCATACCTCCATCCACAGTATTTAAATTTATTCTGGGTCATTCCACAGTGTCCAAACTTATCTACATGAACATGTACTTCCTTATAGCAAACAAATGGAGCATTTACTGATCCTGTCAAAATTAAAAATGTTTTGATTAAAACATATATTTCTTTTTCAATTTCTTCCATACACATGTTCAGTTTACCTTTTTTCCCTTATTAAATTTTATCAAAAATTTCCTGCTGAAGTAATAATATTAAAAAAGCCAATGCTCATTTTACTCTTTTGCTTCACCTTTACTCATTTCCTTCACAAAAGATAATACAGGGGGAAAGGAAGTCATGGAAGTATAAGCTAGAAAAGGGCTCTGTAAAAGAAAGCAATAGAAATGTAATGCAAGAAAATTGTACTTGCCCTAGTTCTGAGTGAGAACTTGACATTAAAGTAGGTAGAAGGAAGACAAATCAAGATTTTAAAGTAGTGTTTATAGGAAAAACTTCTGGGCTGAGAGATAGCTCAGTGGTCTAAATGCCTGCTTAGCAAGGGCAAGGACTCTGATTTGATCCCAGATATCACGTGCTGTGCTGGCTCCACCCTGGCACACTCAGTGGGTCACTGAGACTGCATGTGGTGGCACACATCTGTAATCCCAGCTCTGAGGAGGCTAAAAAATACAATCACTAGAAGTCTGAGCAGTGTAGAAAGACCCTGTACCAAATACACAAAATTTAAAAAAAGAAAAGGTGCAGCTTCAAGATAAGGCTTTTATCCCCTGCTTCTGAAAGCCACCCTAACTTGAGATGCTCTTCTTTAAATGATTACAGAGAATAGTTATAAAGGTTCTTGTACAATGACTTGGGCATTTCCAAGCAAACAGCCCATCCTTTTCACATGCAAACTGCCTTTCCTGTGACTGCATCAGCAACACCGCATGTCAACTTCAAACAGATCTCAATTTCAAATAACATATCTGGACCTCAAAAACATATCTCAGTTTCGTATGCATACAGTGAGAATACACATCCTAAATCATTTATCTTGAAAAAAAGTCTTCAAATGTGCCTTATGTCATGTTTTTGGAGCACCTGCATTCCCCTCTTGAGTAGGTACTATATGCACTCTGACTAATAAATCCTACTTGTATTTGCTTTTGTTTTGTTTTGCTTTGTTTTCCTCTGTATTTTTGGGAAGGGTCTACAGGGTGTTCAGGGTTTCACTAGTAGATCAGACTTGCAGTGATTCTCCTGTTTACAGCTTCCCAAGTACTGGGATTATAGGTGCACGCCACCATGCCCAGTCTCAATCACTGTTTCAGTATGCCCGGGGGGTGGGGCTGGCATGGCAGGCCTGGGGATCAAATGCCAAGCCCCTGTTGTTTTCCTTTTTTAACATCCTGAAAATTCCTTTCCATGATGAGAGTCACCAAAACTGAAAACTTATTTTAAAAGTGTGAGTTAAATTCATTATTTCAGCCAGCCATGAGGACCATAGAATCAACCCTGTGGTAAACTAAATGTAACAATATTACCAACTTATTTTAACTATTTTCCTGCACTGCCATGTTGATTTTTTTTAGTACTTTGTAAAAAATCCCTAAGATTTTACAATTTAAATCTATACCCATTTATGATGTCACAGTTTTTGTAAATCAGAATCCTAGGAAAGAACAGGCTATGTTTCTGCTCCATGTTTCTCTAGACTAAAATCAAGTAATATGAGTAGGACTGCAGTGTCATCTGAGGTTGGAATCCTCTTCAGAGATCACTGGTTCTTAGTAGAATTTAATACATCATAATTGTTAGTCTGAGACCCATAATTTCTTGCTAGTTGTCTGTGATTGCTCTTGGTTCTTAGAAAGAACCTGAAGTACTGGCACATGACCCTCTTACAATATGAATACTTGAAATTTCCAAGCCAGCAGAATTTTTCTTGACATGTCTTGTCCTATAAGGTTTCACATAATTATTTCCAGCCCACTTAGGATGATCTCTCTTTTGATACTTAAATCTTACTGATTAACGAACTCTGATTACACCTTCCAAAGAGTTTCACCTTTGCTACACAAGATATTCATGGAAGTGGTATTCCATTATACATTCAGCAGTTCTCAGACAAAAAGAAAGAAATTATTCAAGGTGTTTACATACCATAAAACTTTGAGGGGTCTTATAGCATTCTTTCTAGTATAGTTACCTTCACTAAAGAGAACTTCTCTAAGTAAAATTACCTCAAGTAATTAGTAATTAGTAGATAATAGGAACTACCTCCATGGATTGTTATGAAAATTAAGAGTATTGGCCTTGTATGGACTTTTGAATCCTTTATAATTCCATTAATTATAATTATTTTAACATTTTCTGAGCATTGATACATCAAAAGAGATTGTCTCAAGGACAGGCACTACTAGTTTGGAGTAAACATACTTTTCAACCAGTTTTATGCTGAATCTCAACTTTCAGTGTTTGAATGGCAATGAAGTGCTTGTTGAGCTTCAAAAATTTATTCAGAAAAATTAGAAACTGGAAACTCAATTTAGGTTGAAAAAGTAATGTGACAGAATATGGCTGGTCACAATGTAATCAAATGAATTATATTGAAAACAATCTTGTTTTCTTAATTACATACTGCTATAATTGAATATTCCAGATGGGATAATTTCTAAAGAGCAAAGGTTTATTAATGTAATAATTCTCTATGAGCAAAAGAATGGGACCATCTTCTAGTTGGCATGTGATTACTCCTTTCCTGTTGTACTCATGATATGGCAGTGGACAACATATTGCAAGACTGGGTCAGAAACCTAGAAAGAACTCATGCCAATAGTAAGACTACTCCACTTATAACTCTCTAGTGTAATAATCCATTAATCCTTTCATAAAACAGAACACTTATAACCCAATTACTTCTTCAATGTCCCACCTAGAGTCACCACTTAAAACCTCTCAAAATCTGGAATTATGATAGAGGTTTAAACAAAAGTATTCTTCAGTCTAATTTTAATCTCTTTATTATATTTAAAGTTATCAATGAGACCCTATCTTTAATGTCTCTTACATACTATGCATGAATTTCTGATTTATCTTGGATATTGACATATAACTATAAGTCTTGTACCTATTTTTTATTTTATTTTATTGAGAAACAAATAGCAATGAGACAGTTTCAAGGCTGATTAATAGGATAGTTTCAATAATTAATACATTGTACATTGTTATCTTCTTAGTGGTTATCCATAGTACAAGAGGCAGACATGATATCCTGTCCAAACATTATTAGTACAAATCTTTCTTCTCATTGAATTAAGAGAAAGTAGCTGTATATCTATCCTAACTATTCTGTATATACAGATACAAATTGGTCCTTCCTTTGCATCCCCTTTTTCTGTTTAGTCCTGTCAGAGATGGGTATTCCACTGCCATTGAAATACTATAGGTGCATAAATTCAGCTAAACAATCCAACACAGTCCAGCAGTCCACAATAGTAGTGGGTTATCCATAGAAGTTGTTGACTTGAGACTTTCACAGCTCAGCATATTAATATGACTTTACTTTATATACCTCATTTTTACACTTTTCTATTGGATGGTTAAGACCAAGATAAAGCAAGACCTATATAACAAGAAATGTAACTTTTGTATCTGATAAGGTCAGTCAAGTCCCCTCAGGATTTATCTTGTAACCATGTACTGCAGTTTGCAGATCCTTGGTCAGTGTCAACCATGTGGATGAGTCACGGCCATTGCTTGACCAATTTGCTCTCTGCAAAAGCTGGAGATTGTTTTCTCTCCCTGAGACTTTCCTTAGGCACACTCTACATCATCGATCACATTGCTCTGTGGCCCCATAATCTCCTTGATCAGAAAATTTGGGACACAACTGTTACATGACACTACAGTACAAGTTCTCCTATGTCCTGAGTCTTCACTGACCTTGAAAGATGAGGGCCAAAATGTTGGCTGTCCTTGCAGCCCTTGTATTTCTCTATTTTTTGGTCTGCAAACTTAGATTGTTAGCCCTCCAGAAGAGAAGCTTATTATTACCCTGAAACATATGCAATTGAGTTTATCTTCACTATATGTCTGAATGTTAAACATCTTAGGCATAACAGGGAAAAGATGTTTTCCATCAAATATTGATATGTTAAACATTAAGTCCCTACAGAATATGGAGAAAAAAATTGAAAAATGAAAAATGTTAAAGAATATGAATAAACAATTATATGTTTTTTGCACAGAAATTTAGAAATCTAACCATATGCAGCACTGTAGCAGGACAGTCCTGTGACATTATTTTTGTGACTTTTTTCATTTGTTAGCTTTTTTATTAAAAGAAAAACCAAATATTTACTTGAGAGACAGTATGGTAATAATTGATATGTCATGACAATAAGTATGTATTTAGAAGACCAGATTGACAGGCATTCCAAGTGTGATCCTTCTTTTACATATTGCTATCTTCAGTGTAGTTGCTTGATTCACAGGTATGAGCACATATAGTTAGTCAGGGCGAGAATCTTACCAATTAGCTGCTAGTTTCAAAAAGCTGCTGATGTTTCTCAGGATCATTGCCTTCCCCTCTTGTGTGTATAAATGTATGGCTTTGCCCCAGTTATGTTTCCCAGTTTTTCTCCTTGTCCTCTCCTCATTGACCAATGCTCAAGTTCTCACTTTCCTTTTAATTGTGTTATACCTTTCCATATGTATTTCTTTTTTGAGTTCTTATACTAGGAAGACTATACGATATTTACACATGTGGTTCTGGGTTATTTCACTTATGAGTATGTCTTCTGGTGGTATCCACTTAAACATAAATGCTTCAAGTTTATCATTCTTTATAGCGACTAATACTCCATTGTATAAAAATACCACGTATTTTTCAACCACTCCTCATGTTGTAGGTATCTTGGTTGTTTCCAAGATTTGGCTATCACAAATTGTGCTGCTATAAACATAGGCACACATATATCCCTATGATATGATGCTTTCAGATCCTCTGGGAAAATTCCCAGTAGAGGAATAGCTGGTTTAAAGGGGATTTCCAGACCAACTTTTCTAAGTAGTCTCCATACTGATTTCCATAATGGTTGCACCAGTCTACATTCCCACCAGCAGTGGAGAAGGGTTCCTTTTT